TGGGGCTGTTCAGCGCTACCAGAGGGGGCTGAGGGGAGACCTTCTCGCTCTCGGCAGCTCCCTGGCAGGAGGGGGCAGCCAGGGGAGGGTCGAGCTCTTCTCCCAAGGAACAAGGGACAGGACGAGAGGAAATGGTCTCAGGTTGCAGCAGGGGAGATAGGTTGGATATTAGAAAACATTTCTGCACGGAAGGGGTTGTCAGGCACTGGAACAACCCAGGGCAGTGGTGGAGTCCCCATCCCTGGAGGTGTTCAGAAAATGTGTAGATGTGGCACTTTGGGATATAGTTTAGCGGTCATGGTGGTGTTGAGTTGACAGTTGGATTTGATGATCTTAGAGGTATTTTCCAACCTTAATGATCTAAAGCAGCTCAACTGTACGGCTGGAAATTCTTCCAAGTTACTGTCACGGTGGTTTCTTTCTCCTCACCGTGCTGCTGTTGACGCTGTTACACGTGCAGAGAGAGCAGGAGTGAGCAGGCTGCGATTCTGAGCGGGCGTCACAGCTGTACCCCCCGACTCGGTGGTGGGGGAACAGCCGTTGATTTGAATCCCCAGCCCTGGGAAGCGATGAGTGAGTAAGAGAGCAGCTGAAGGTGACGTTACCATTCCCTGTTGGCGCTGCCACAGGCCATCTTTCTGGAAATTTTCTGAACTGAACAGTCCAGTGGAAACACTGTTTGACTCGCGACTTGGTGTGGGTTTTAGGAATAGGTACGGAGAAGGCAGAGCCAGACTTTTCCTCAGAGCTGCCCAATGGAAGGATGAGCGGTAACAAACGTGAGCTGGAATGTGGAAAATTGTGCCTTAATATAAAAGAACGTTTTAAGGTGACAGCTGTGGAACGCTTGAGCAGGTTTTGGGAATTCTGTTTTTAAAGATAAACCAAATTCTGTCTGGGCACAGCCCTGCGCATCCTGTCCTAACTGGACTTGCATTCAGTCTTTTTCAGCCTACAGGATTAACAAAGGTCAAGCCCTGAAAAAAACCCATTATTTAGCTGTTAGTGCCTCTGAAATTACATCCGTGCCCTTTTATGCCTCTGTAACTGCAGCGATAGCGCACTAAATATATATGTATATATTTCCAAAATAGTGCTCTCCTGTTGTCTGGAGAAAGTTTAACAGCAGAAGATCTCGTTGTGACTAAACTATTGTGAGTGCTTTGTACAGAATGCAAATAAGTAGCAACACCAGGTAAAATACAAGCCGGATTAATCTGATAAACAGTGATGCAGCATCCTTTTAGTATGGATTTTATCTGCTGTTACCCACTTGTCAGCGACTTGAAACTTATCCTGTTTGTGCAAAGTAGGAAAATCCTCTGTATATGTAATGGCTTAATAATTCATGTTGGTTTATGCGTGATTAAAGAAGTCCTCATCCTTTTGAGCTTGTAGTAGAACAAATCTGAAATACCACACAAATCCAGGACATGCAAGATACTGGAAAACCTCGTCTTAGAGTATTATTAATCGCTGTACCTCAGCTAGGAGTGTAAAAAGGAAGTTGTTAGAGAATTCACCTGCAAGAACGTGTTAAGCTTAAAGAATATTTCAAGTTTAGACTTGGCTCTACACGGTGCTGCTTGGATAACTTGTGCAAGTGAAGAGAAACTAAAATGAGCGGGACAGAAAAAATGGTATTTTGAAAAACATGTTGTTTGTGATTTTTGCAGTGTTTTTGTGAGTCATTACAGAGATTCTTTATCCTGTAGTGCACTAAAAATTTGAGAAAACCTGTTATTCTTTCTATGTCGTGTTATCATCTCGAGGCGAAATGTGTCCTGTTACAATTTTAAAAAAAATTAAGGAGCCAAATTCATATTTACATTGAATGGACTCTGGTGGTGAGTTTGAAGACTTTAGGGCCAATTAGGATTTGGAGACTTCGACATCCATTTCAGTGCTAGAACTTGTCTTTTGTTCTTTTTTGCTGTGATCCTTCATAAAAAACATTTACAAAATCAATCTCCTTGTGTTTTTTAGCCAACGTCCATGAGGGCCATTCGAGCTCGATACGACCCCTACCTCCAGACAAGACACAGAGTGGAGCAGGTACGTTTTTACGCGGAAAGGGGAAATGCATCGTGGTGGGGATGGAGGTAACGAGAACACTTTTAATTGCGCAAGACACAGAGTGGAGCAGGTACGTTTTTACACGGAAAGGGGAAATGCATCGTGGTGGGGATGAAGGTAACGAGAACACTTTTAATTGCATGAGCTCGTGGGCTGGGAAGAAGATGGAACCAAGCTTTTCTCGGCAGGGCCCGTTGACAGGCCAGGCTGTGATTCAGTGAAATGTGAGAAACTGTATTTGAACAGCAGGAAACAGTTTTGAACTGAGGATGACCAGCTGCCAGACCAGGTTTCCTGGCAGAGTTGTGCAGTGTCCGTTCCTGGAGATGCTGGGCACAGGGCTGACTCAACTGCGGGAGCTGATGCAGCTTTGAGGAGAGCTTGGACTAGGTGGTCTCCAGAGGTCCCTTCCAACCTCAGCTTTTTCGTGATTCTAGAATTCTATGTTAGCCTGCCTTGGTCCTCACTGAAAATTTCTTTGTAGTCCTCTTCATTGTCTTAACTGTCACTTCCATTAGGTAAAGGACAAGTTTTGAACCTCTAATAAGCTCTTACCTGCTCTGAACAGTAGCTGATTACTGACAGGAGATCCTTTTGCCACAAAATTATACTGAACTTCAGTGGCAGTTGCTAGTTCTTAATAGTTACTTACACGGAGAATTTAGTACTCAAGTAGTGACTGTCCTACCAAAATAATTTTTTGGGGAGTCTTCACTGGAGACTTAAAAGATCTGGAGAGGTTCTCAGTCCGGTTCTTTGACTGACTTCATGTTTAGCTTCAAGTCCACTGGAAAATTCTGTGTTTTCAGCATAGTCCTTTTTCTCCTGCAAGTTTGTAGAGAAAGTGAATTCTACGTGGCTTGAAGCCGATGGGAGGAGACTTTTGTTGCTGGCCATGTCTAAGCTTCAAGCTGGAGCCAGTGTAACTCCATCAGCCTGATGCTAGGCTCAGGTAATTCTCCTTTGTCAGGAATACCTGTTAGGCTGGGCTCAATTCTTGCAGTAGAAAAATGACTTTTGAGGGATTCTTTCTGTTTTTCCGGAGGGTTTATAAGTGATCTGTACAAAAGCATTAATGGTTTGTCATTCATGAAAGATAGGATGGCGAAAGAAGGAAATGCGGCGTAAGAGTGTCAGGATTTTCCAAGAAGTCTTTAAATAAATCCCTGATTGGTAATTTTTCCCCGGTACTTTGAATTTTACAGCTGAAGCAGTTGGGCCACAGCGTGGATAAAGTAGAGTTTATCGTGATGGGTGGAACCTTCATGGCCCTGCCTGAAGACTACAGAGATTACTTCATCAGAAACCTTCACGATGCCTTATCAGGTCACACCTCCAATAACGTGGCAGAGGCTGTCAGGTAAGCATCTTGGTTTTCCTTCTTGTGATTACTTAAAAATATTCTTTCACTGGTATGAGGACAGAAAATATTGGACACAAACCTTTTTTTTTTGAAAGGCTGTTTATTCAAATATGTCTTTAGAGGTGGAATATTTGTAGCTCAACTTGCAGCGTTGCTCTCGTGCACCGCGTGGCCCCATCTCCCACCGGTGCTGTGGTTTGCCTTTTTTTTTTTCTCCTATAGAAGATGCTGAGCTGCCTCGAACTCCTTGGCATTCCAGCTGGACTTCTACTTTTTCTTTTTTTTTTTTTTTAATGCCTCGTCACCTTGCTTTGAAGTTGTGACGAATCACGCTGCCGGGGGATTTATTTTCCTTTTAGCTGGGAAGGGGAACTGATCCCTTGCCTTGGAGGGAGGCCAGACGTCAGCTCCCGTAAGGGATGACTCAGCCCCGAGAGCGTCAGCGCTCCCAAGCTCCGAGCCCCTCGCTCCTGCCGACGTGGTTACCCTTGCAGTATTTCGGTGTGACGGGGAGATGCTCTTCTTCTCGTTCTATGGTCGATGAACCGAAAATCGCAGGCTGGTTTATCGACCATGTGTGTCGGGTCGTTAAACACGTGAACTTTACAGTAGGTTTTGCAGTATGAAACCGAGAAGAAAAAGGAGAGATTTGAGGGTTTTGAGCTCTTAAAATTAGGTGAGCGTCCCTGCTCACAGTTGTAGTTTACTACTTTGTCGTCGTCGTCCAACTCAGTGGATTTTCCTTGATATGGTTATCCCCTGAAGAAAGCATTTTTAAAACTGAGCAGGACTAGCCCCTTGCCAACCTTCACATCTACCGTTTGTATTTTAAAGCTGTAATTTCGTTTGCTTTTCCTGTGGAGGGCAGCAAACACTTCTGCTGGTTTTCTTTAGATTTTCTTTTTCGTCCCTCCTTGTCAAAGACCAGAAAAAAAGTGCTAGGTTGTTCTTTCCAAGTGGATTTTTATCAAGATAAAATAACGGACAAGTTGGGCAAAGAATTGCTTTTCTTTTGCCCTAAATGCCCTGGTTGTGAGCACTGCAGCTCACTCTCATTACGGAAGAATTACGGTTATTCAAATTAATGCTCTGCTTATACGTAGGTCACGTGGTTCAGGATGTGGTTATTCTTTATTTGGTTCTGCTGCAGGTGTGTAGCTAATTTTATTGGACTTGAAACCATTTTAAATAGGGTGTCCTTTGCAGATTACTGAGATTATTTACTACATGGACTGTGTGACCAAGTAATTTTAAGTGCCTGCGAAAACCGAAGTGATCATGGAGTCGGCGTGCTGCCTTGCAAACGCACAGATCGAGCAGTGTGAGAAAAGCTGCACTAACAACGTGGGGTTTTTTTCCCCCGGTAGATAAATAAAGGTTTATATTTGTAACGTAAAATGCACGTTAAATGCTCAGTAGATGGAGGTATGTGGGAGTTAGTCAAGTTGCGCCTCCTAAATATTCTAGAGGCAAGAAAATTGGGTTCGAGATGAATCAGACCTTTTACTTTTTGTGCTTCTTGCTGTTAGCTGTTGAACTGTGTCACTGCGGCACTGTTTCAAGATGGTCAGTGACCCTTGAAATCAACGTTCAAGGCTGAATTTATTTTTTTTTTCTACGTGAGGTTTCAGCCCTTCTCCCGTATTACTTCCATCCGCAGAGGCCACGCTACGTGGGGAATACTGACTGTTTTACAGTGAACACTGTCTTCGGCGGGAACCTGGGATCTGGTCTCTCTCACCCCTTGCTTGGAAGGGGATTGTGGTAGCCTTAAATTTTACTTCCTTGTGCAAACCATTACTTAACTTTAGATTTAGTACAGTGGTTCCTTAATGGGGAAAAAGACCTTCAGCCAGGATACTTTTTAAAAAAAAATAGTCCTTCTGAGCATGATCTTTGATTAAGCCAGTCTGTATAAGCTGCCATCCAAACTGTGATCATTTTTTTTCCCCTTTTGCCCCGTAATTTCTTTACTTTCTCCCAAACCTGAGCTCTGCCTCTGTGACCAACGCTGCCTTCCCGGCGACACGCTGACCTACACGGTCTGAGTTGTGCAGTCCTGAAGGACTCATCGATCTCACATCCTCCTCTTGATGTAATTTTGAATTTTCTTCGTACGATACTTTGTCTTGATCAGCCAGCTGCAGCTTCTGGTCCCAGTTAACCTGATAAAAAGGATGTGACTGTGCAATTTCAGGCAGTACAGTACAAGCGTAGCCTGCCATGGAGGTATGTACTGTTCCTCACCAGCACCACGAGTCTGACGAAAGACATAAATCCTCCAACCGTGTTGGTCTGACATTCCGAGTTGGCTTCTGGCTTTCTTGCAGATAGCAAGTCTTCGGGTACATCCAGCCTCGTGGTGAATCACAAAGCTGCCTAGGTGAGAGAAATCAGGTGGGAGTGGGAGCGAGCTGTCCTGGGGAAGTGGGGCACTGCTCTAGCCGGCTGCTGCTGGATAAATAAGTCTGCAACTGTGGCTTTATGGTCAGTGGAGAGAGCAGGATCTTCGTGGGATGGCTCAGAGCTCCTAAATTGGTTGCTAATTTAAACTATTTCCAGGTAAACTGAGCAGATGACTTGGAGGGTTCTGAAGAACTCCCTTTATACCTCAGTTTAAAAAGTGAGATCCTTTTTTTATGAGTTAACCTGAAGTGAGTTGAGATTTCAGGTTTTATGGATGCATGAACTGCCCACGGTGAAGTGTTTGGAACTAGATGATCTTTAAGGTCCCTTCCAGCCCCAACCGTCCTGTGATTTCACGACAGGAGCGTAGAAATGACTGTATTTACATACATGAGCTCACCAACCGAAAGCGTGATCTTCGACAAGATAAATGGAGAAACAGGCAGGTTTTCATGGTGATTCTGTTGTGAGTCGGGGAAAGAAATTACTTCCCTGAGAAAGTGCTGCTGGTGTTTAATATTTCGGTGGCACCACCCTATCAAGGTAATAAACGCTTTTTAGACAATGCACACAGAAGCCTTAGCTTGAGGTGCTTTGGTATGCTTGAGAGCTGGGTTGGCCAAGGAATGAGTCAAGAATTGCAGAGCCAGAGGGGATCTTTGTTTTGTAGAGTGTGCAACAAGACGGAGAAGTTTTAATTTTTATCTGCGGAGAACACCGCGTAGGACATTGCAGTGTCAGTTCTGGATGCCTATCGAGCAAGGTTGTGGAGTTGGTGATAAGCTTCCCTTCTTTAAGAGGAGGTTTGTAATTACTGCGAAAAAAAAAATCACTGAGAGTCAGATTTTTCTTGTTGTACGCTAGAGAAATGCATCTTTCCCCTGGAGTTGCTCCCATCAAGCCTGAGTGTGGACTCGATAGCGGCTGCCTTTGCTCTTTGGTGAGGACAATGAAGGTGTAAAAATCCACATGCAAACGAGGATTGCTGCTCCCCAGCATTTTCCTCCTCTCACCTGACCTGTGAGTCATTGGAAGTGCTGGACATATTTAACTGCTGCTGTGACTCACCACTTAACTCCCAGGGCTGAGCACCTCTTCTCCGAGCCAGGAACTGACTTTGAATTCGGGAGGCCAAAGGAGAGCTTGCCTGTGTTGGGAAAAGCAAATACCAGAAAGGTCTCTGGGCTACGCACCCCTGCAGCTCCTTGGACTGCAGCATCAAGCCTGGTTTCTCTTAGTTTGTTTTAAAATACGCAGAAACAATTTAAAAAATTGTATTTTATCAGTGTTGCCTGATGTTCGATCTGTAAATCATGTTGTTAATGGCAAAGTAGGAAGGGGGTAAAATTGCTGGAACCTCATGTTCTGCAATTCAGATGTCTCGTGTACCTATATTTATGTGACAGTATTCAGATGCACAGCAGACATAATAACTATTTCCATAACAGGTTTGTAATCCAAGACTGCTTTGGCTTTACAGCCACTCATCAGTGAGTAATCTCTTAAAAGTCTTATTTTCCGTCATGCATTGATGTCCAGAACTTGCAGAAGTGTGATTCCTGTCGGCCGCATTTGATTCTTCATGGAGAAATTGCGCGTCCTGATTCCGGATGGCACCATGAGACTGCCTTTTCCTTGGGCTCGTCATCGGTTGCTGTTGCCAGGTGTCCTTTTTGTGTTTCCACCGTGAGCTGTGTCTTCCACTGAGCTGGTGAGCGGGCAGCGATGCTTCCTGCTGCCACAAACCTTTTCGTTCTGCACGAGGAAATTTCCTTTAGGTACCCCAGAAGGCGTATTGATCTTTTGACAAGCGGTAAGCGGATAGATCCAGCTCCTTTAGAGTTTTTAATGGAAGAGGAGACACAGGTTTTAAATGCTGCTTATTGTGTGTCCAGTTTAAGACTCTTGGAAGAGAAAAAACA